TGAGATAAAAGTCATCTCACCCAGAGGTGAGAACTTACAAGAATGCACTGAACAGTGGCAATGCCAGCGGTGGGGAAGGAGGAAATGGCATGGGAACCTCTAACAGCAATTCAGGTTCCTCATTAGCTCATCAAAGAGCCACGCCACATTTGAAAGATCAGTGACATCCTAGAGCCTCCCCGGGTGCAAGAGTTAAGTCTCAGCACTGTGTAGCTATCTCCAGCCACTGCAGCATGAGTTCAATCCCTGGCCAGGGAGCTGACCCACCTGGAGCAGCACACCACTCCTGTCTCACCTGTTGCTCCCCTCAGCAGTGTATTTCATTCAATCTGCCTCTTCTCCCCACTCTGTCTCTAGTGAATCCTCTTACCCCCTGCACCTCTGGCCTGTACCCCAGTTCTTGTATGCATAAATAAATAAATCTTTTAAAAAACCAATGACATCCTTTGATAAAAATAACCAACATTTCTCAGTCCCATGTAACATGTTAATAAATCATTTGTTTTGAAAACTTCCCTATTTTAAAGCAAGCAGTCAATGCTCACACAGACCCTACGCCTTGCCTTCCAATATCGCTAACCTCAGCCCCTCCCTGTGTTCCCTCTGGAGCTGATGCCAGTATTGCAACGGTGTTTTGTGTGTCTGTCCACCTAGAACATGCTCTCAAGTCAACATTCCAGTGCCTCACTCAATGCCAGGTGCAAACTAAGGGTCCCCCCAAAGGAGGCTTCCATCAAATAAGAACACATCACAACAGAAAGTGTCTACAGACAAGCTCTCTTACCTCACAGATCCAGATGACACCCCAAGAGCACAGGGGAGTTTCCCAAGGCTGAAGAATCATCTTAGACCGGTGGCTGGGAGGGTGGGCACTGCCAAAGCTCGCTGGAGCTGGAGAGGGTGGGCAGAGGGGTGTTCACCTGGTGGTTGCTGTTGTCAGAACCTGGAACTTAAAAGAAGAGGGTCGTCATTTGCTAAAGACTTATTATGTGCTAGTGCTGATAGAGCTTATTCCACTTCCACCTCACAGGGCTAGTCACTGTGGGGAAGGAGCTGATAGAGGGCAAACAGGCAAAGAGGGCTGTGGTGTATGAGCAGCATGAGAGGGATGGGAGGGCCTGGGGTGGGTCCGGCAGGCACTTCCAATGGAAAAAGACGTTGGGTTGACCACGTTCTTCCGCCTCAGTTTGCACCCCTCACCTTAGCCCCCCAACCCCCTCCCACCGTTTTGTTTTGGTGTTGTTTTCTCCTGGGCTCTCACATTTTAGTAAAGCACTAAAAAAATGTTTTAATGCAGCCACACTTCCCAGAAGGGAGTCTTTGATCAAACGTTCTCTCTCCAGGAACGAAGGATGCTCTTGTGGAGAAACCCATCCCGCCCGCGGAGCCTGTCGAGCCGGTGCTCTGGGGCAGCATGGCCGTCGGTGCCGTGTCGCTCGCGGCCGCCAAAGCCGGAGCCATTCTGGACGAGATGCCTCTGTACCTCAACATTGCTTCACTCAAGAGCCCGCAGGTTGGTGGCCTTCTCTCCTGCTGCGGGATGGCGACAAGACGCGAGCACCTCACATTCCCGCGCTCGCTCTCCCCTCCAGGAACCGCCCACAAAGCTCAAGGTGCCTCTGGCGATGGTGTCGTTGCTCAGCTGTGGGAAGTCATCAGCCGGGAAGCTGAATCTGATGAAGGAACTGATCTGTATTCCGCACCCTGGATTATCAGCTAAACAAGTATCTTACATCATCCCAAACGATGTTTTCTGAAAACGTGTAGTCCTCTAAGTCCTCTGCCTTTTAGTGTAGGTCCTCAAGGCTTAGGACACCAAGGGAGAGGGAGTTCGATGTAATGTGAGAGGAAAGTATTTTAGAACATCAGGAAAGTGGGAAGAAAGCAAGCAGTCAAGTGAAGGAACCAATTTATTTTTTTATTATATATTCTTTGAGGTAACACTGCTTTACAACACTGCTTTTGATTGGGAGGTGTAGGGTCACGCCTCTTCAGATGTATGTTAGTTACCTTCCCATGCACAACACTAAGGTACCCATGATCCGCTACCATATTCAATTACTAAAAGTTGAGGGCTGAGATGAACATGCCAGCTGGTTTTGTCCACTCAGGCGTCGACAAAATTTCGAGTTAGCAATAACCGTGTGTGGTGTAAGTTTTTATGTTTAAAATTTCTCAATTGCCGTTGCAGAACATCATGTTTTTTCTACTTCCAGGGTATAGAGATGCTTCTGGAAATTCAGAAACAGATTAACAAAGCAGTTGAAATGGTAAGTAAAGAGAATGAATCGCTTCTAATTCCTGATGCTTGTGCTTCTGAGTGTCCAACGTAGAGTCCATTAGGGCATTAAGTCAATATTGCTATGACTAGTATGGAAAACATTCATTGGCTTTGCATCTCCCAGATGAGCCAAGCTTCATCTCTTAGAGGCCACGGATCCAGTTTCTAGTGATATTTATAAGTTTCATCTTGATTTCTAAGATAGCTGCCTCTATGCTAAGATCACACCTTAGGATTTGCAAAGAAAGGATTTGCCCCTTGGGTATGAAGGGAAGTTTGGTATAGTGGTCAAGGCACAAAGTTGCGCCTGATTAGCATACAGTTTGGGGGCAGATATGGGCCCTTGGGTTAGCAGGCCAGGAGGGGACTCACAGTTCAGGACGAGAGTCAGATGTGGGCAAATCCACCCTGACCTTGCTCTCTCAATGGCCCTTTGCTGGAATGTATGACTTTACAAAATCTGTGCTGTAGTTTCCTCCTCTGTAGAGTGGGTGGGAGAAAGGTCTGTCTCCTGAGGGGCTGTGAGGCTCGAGGAGAGGATCTCATAGTGCTCAGATCCCTCCAGGCCCACCAGTGAGAATACACAGGTAGACAGAACCCAGCTAAACATGGCAGGCCATTTCAAGTTATTGGAGACTTTGGCAGTTGTCCTAACTTTCATATGTTTTTCTAACTTTTCATGTTTTTTATTAAGATTTATTTGTTTGTGCATACAGAACTGGGCAGAGGTGCACGGGTGGTGAGAGGATTCACCAGAGACAGAGTGGGGCTCAGAACAGGCAGATCGATGAAGTCCATTGCTGAGGAGAGCAGCAGGCGGGTCAGGAGAGGTCTGCCGCGCCGTGTGGGTCACCTTCAGGGCAGAGATTGAAGCAGTTGTGGCTGGTTTTGCAGTGCTGTGCTTTAACCTGCTGCGCCACAAGGGAGGGTGGATTTTTCCATTTTACCAGTAGTTCCTGCCCCATCCCCACTCAACCCCCTACCTCCAACTTCTATGGGGGCCCTCTGTCTCTCTCGGTAGCCCTGAGAAATGTGGGAAAGGCTTCCAGCCTTTCTTCTGCATTTCTACAGACAGACAGGTACAGCAACATATGGTATGCCTTGGGTTTAAAATACAAAATGCATGCAAAATTGCCCTGCAAATTGCTTTGCATCTTTGCCCTTTTTGTTGAGGTGTTCATCCCTTACTAACATCTAGTTTTTATAAAAGGCTCATTCCTGGCCCTCCCTGGTGGCGCAGCGGGTTAAAGCACAGCACAAAGAAGCTAAAGCCACTTCCTCATGAGTTCGATTCCTGGGTGACCACATGGCGTGGCAGACCTCTCCTGACCCGCCCGCTGCTCCCCTCAGCAGTGTACTTCGTTGATCTGCCTGTTCTGCGCCCCACTCTGTCTCTGGTGAATCCTCTCACCCTCCGCATCTCTGGCCTGTACCCCAGTTCTTTACGAATAAATAAATCTTTAAAAAAAAAAAGGCTCATTCCTTTCTAAGTGTCCCACACATTGCCCTCTAGCATGCCACCTACCTTTTCACTGTGTTTTATGGAGTCATAGGGATCCTTTTCTTTTTAAAATTTTGATGTAAAATGTTTCCATCTGTTTTTTTTTATTGTGGAATTATTTTTTTTATTACAAAGTTTATTTTTACATCATTTTGCACATTATTTTTTCCCATCTCAATTGCAATCCCGCGGGTTTCCCATCACCAAATCACCCGTGTGCCACCACCATAGTCTGTGCATTTCCCCCCCTTCCCTCCATCTGTTCTTTCACGCAGTGATTCGCAACTCAATGGGGAGGCATTTCCAGACCCAAAGGGTTTTTGACTACGCTTGGAGACATCTTGGGGTGGGGGGGGCCTTCGCTTGGAGCGAGGGTCTGCTGGCATCTAGTAAGCAGAGTTCTGGGGTGCTACTAGATACCCCACAATGTGCAGCCCTCCACAACAAAGGGGTGTCCAGCCAAATACCCAGCGTGGGAGCCCTGCTTTAAGGCTTTGCTCTTTGCTCAGGCTTCGTCAGCGAGGCCGCGCTCCTGGGGCGCTGGGCGCCCAGCTGCTTCTCTTCACCTACTTACCCCAAGCCTCAGCTTCCTTGGAGTCCCCTCCCTTTGCAGTCCCGTCACCCCGTCTTCCCTGGGTATAGGGAAGACGGGGTGACGGGGCTAGATTACGCTCACAGCGGCAGGCCGGCTTTGCCTGCACCTCCCCGCCAGCGTGTTGATCCACTTCCCGAATATGTTGCCTCTCTTGGAGCTGCTGCAGGCATCAGCTGATCCCACTGACGGGAACTGGGCCATCGCCTGAGGGCTGACCGGACGTGAGCTGGGCCAGCTCCTGGGGCCGCACATGCTGGCCGCTGAGGCGCATCCCAGCGGCCATCAGGCTGGGGCTGTAACACCACGGAGCTGCAAAGTGAACTGGGAACCTCTCTGTGTTTCCCCTCCAGTGACGCCATACACGCAGATTGGCCAGACTGAAAGGCTCTAGGCCCAAGGGCAGAGCCGACCTGCAGGGTGGTGCTCTGAGAATGTTCAAAACTGCGCGTGGGGCCCAGCAGAGCAGACTCACAGTGCTGTTACACTGAAGGGCCAGGAGGGGCCTGGTCGCCTCCTGTAAAAACAAGTTTGATTCACACGTGCTGAGAAGATGAGTGAGAGTACTTATTTCTATGCGTAGAAATACACGAACACACACACACATCCCTCTCCGGTGGAGGCAGGGGGTCAGGATGGACTAGCGGGAACACACACCTGAGTGTGAAGAACAATTTGCAGTTGATAGTTAGGGGGCGGCAGGCACGATCCCTGTGTGGGAGTGGGGGGCAGGGGAGAGGGGAAGCTCAGGGTGACTGGTGAGGCCCCAGAGGCCAGAGGACCTGGCGCTCTGTTGTCACCCACAGATGTGACTTGAAAATCCCAAGTGATGTGACTTCGTCTTCTGTCCACAGCCTCCTCCTCCCAAAACAGAAGCGAAGAAAGGGCATAATGGAGGCAAGCGAGGCCAGGTGAGTACAGGCTGACCAGACGCCCATCTGACACGATTTGCTGATGGAGTCCCTGCCCCGTTTCCTCTCCCCTGTTATTTTGCTCCAGCCACCAGGACCAACACAAATAGAATTTTCCGCTGATCTGTTCTAACAGCAGGAAGCCAGGGACCCCCGGGCCAGAATAGCATTGTACGCCCCCCCGCTGGCAGGAGGCTGCCTGGCCAGCTCAGCCAGCGGTTGTCTGGACAACTGAGTAATAGGATTACACTGGATTACCCTAGAGATGAAGTGTTTGGGAGGCTGAAGTTTCCTGACAGCTGAAAGGCGTGTAGGATGGCTTCTATTTTAACTTTGCTACCTCCAAAGAGAGGAAGAAAATACCCAAAAAGATGGCCAGTCCTTTCATCTGGCTTCTAGAGGCCACTGACACACCATCCCAAGGAGCTCAGATTTTGCCTGTAGGGTCAGGCTCCGTTCTCGTGGAAACCGGCCACACTGCTGCCAGAGCTTCTGGGCGTGGGGGGTGCTGAATTTAATGAATCAGTGACAGTGATGGCTCTCACCCCTTCTATAGACTCTTAAAACTGTGACTTTAAGCAAAGCATCATGTAACAAAAGCAGATTCTTGAATAATGCTGATTCACATTGGCCAGGATTGAGTTTTACTCATTGTTGCTAGAATGGATTGGCATCTGCCGGGCACCTTCTTAGATGGCTGAATTCTGAGCAGCATAGTTAGGACCACCAGCGAGAACCCTGGAGGCAGGGCGAGAGCATGAAGCCTCGGCCCTGTTGTACAGGTGATCCAGGAAGCCACCCCCAGGCCTGCCATGACATCGGGTCTTGAGTCTGCGGAAGTTACCACTAGGAGGGACTGAAAGGAGAGGGATTTGAGTCCTCGTCAAAATTGGGAGAACTATGGGCATAAATCAGTAGGCAGGAGGCTACTTGGCACTGGGTGGGGGCGGGGAATACCGCTCCAAGTCAGGGCTGGTGAGAGCAGTGGGGTGGAGACCAGTCCCCAGCTCTCAGGGCTGTGCCCTGACCCAGCAGCTGTCTGCGTGTCCTGAGAGACGCAGCGGACCAGCCCTGCCTGCCTGTGGCCATTTTGGCTTCGACTTGTTCTTTTTCTTTCCTTTTTCTTATTAGAAATGGGTTAGGTGATAGATTCTAGAAGGGCAGCCCTACTGAATCAGAGGCGTGGGGTCTGTAGTTGCGCTGCCTGGTGTTATCTGCTCCAAGTTATTTCTCTTTCTGAAACAGTTGCTGCTTCTTGCGTGGATGGAAGGAGTAGATGTGTTTACTTTGTAGGCGATGCTAGCAGTGGTGCTTGGCACTTAGTGTATACCTAGTGATGCTTTCAGTTTACAAGGCTCTGTGTGACAACTGAGTCACAAAAATGTCCCCAACTATTTCTTTCCCAAGTAAAGGAATTGGCATAAAAAAATGTTGGACAATTCTAACTAGTATTTTCTCTAGTAAAAATGGGACATTTCTACCTAGGTTCATACTTGCTCTTGAATTTGGCAAACACACACACACTCCTCTTAAGCCTTCAAAATTACTAATATTTCTTCAACTAATAATTGCATATTCGAGACTGTTGATGGCACCTCAAGGCTGATCTTGCACTACAAGGGGGAGAGATGCTTACATCTGGGCCTCCGAGTCTTCTTCCATTGCAATCATCCTCAATGCTGCATTCTTTTAGCTTTTAAAAATAACACTATTCCTGGAAGAAGGTTAGACTTTTCAGTGCTGACAGTTAGACGCTCAAGTAAAATGGAACATAGAAAAGAGCAGGTTTGATGGAAAACAGACAGCTAAAGACAGGCAGGTTGGAAACTAACAGGGTCAGCCTGGAGATTCACTGACAGGTGGTGGCCCAGGTTAGTCCACCATTAACTGCAGAGCCAAGGAAGAGAAACAGGGACACCGAAGAGAGAAATATGTCCTCCTAGGCCAAACTAGAAGAACCTGGGAGGAAGAAAATTCCTCCTAGATGTGGCAAAGCCATCATGTGGCCAAAGTGGGTGGACCCTGAAAGGAGGATTAATTGAGAATCGGGGACCTCATCTTTGGAGAGATGTGTCTGGACATGAAATGTGTCTCCACGGAAGTGCCAAGAACTGTACCGTGCTGTATTTACACGTGTTGTTCCTTTTTGAACTCACAGCAGCAGGTAACGGGTAAGATGTCCCATCTTGGCTGTCTAACCATTAACTACGACACCATAGAGCAGCCGCTGCTTCTCATACAAGGGATCTGTGCCAACCTGGGGCTGGAGCTGGGGAAGAGCCTGCATCTCGCCATCAACTGTGCTGCCCACGAGTTGATGGACTATGTAAGTTTCACTCCAAAATGTTTACTTTTGGGGGTGGTACCATTATGTTCATAATAGAACTCAAAAGAAGAGCTTACTAGTATATTTCCCAAAGACCTTATTGCTATTTTAAAGATTTATTTATTTATGCATAGAAGAACCAGGGTACAGATCAGAGGTGTGCGGGGTGAGAGGATCCACCAGAAATAAAGTAGGGAACAGGACAGACAGATCTATAGAAATACATGGCTGAGGGGAGCAGTGAGCAGGACAGGAGAGGTCTGCCTGGCCATGTGGGCCAGCTTCCTGGCTGGGGATCGAACTTGTGCTGCAGTGGCTAAGGACAGCTTCATAGTGCTGTACTTTAACCTGCTGCACCATGAGGGAAGGCCCCCAAACATCCTATTATACCCATAGCAGGAGTATAAGGGATCAGAAAAAAAATAAATTGTAATAAAGTAAAAATGTAAATAAGCAAACAACTATAAACCAGAGACATTCTACAGGGAAGGAGAGGGGAAAAGGATCCAAACTGGGGTGGGAAGAGCACACGGGACTATGGTGATGTCACAGGGGTGAAGTGGTGGTGGGAAGTCCACAGAAATTACAGCTGAGGTGAAAAAGCATTGTACAAAACTGAAAAATGTTGTAAAAATAAATTTTAAAAATACATAAAATAGGCCCTCCCTGGTGGCGCAGCGGGTTAAAGCTCTGCACTAAGAAGCTTACGCCACTTCTGTATGAGTTCGATTCCCATCAGCCCTGGAGGAGATCCACATGGCGTGGCAGACCTCTCCTGACCAGCCCACTGCTTCCCTCAGCAGTGTACTTCGTCGATCTGCCTGTTCTGCTCCCCACTCTGTCTCTGCTGAATCCTCTTACCCTCCGCATCTCTGGCCTGTACCCCAGTTCTATATGAATAAATAAATCTTTTAAAAAATACATAAAATTATCATCAAATAAAAAATTGAGGGGCTCATATATAAATGGATTTGAGAAATCTGAGTCAGCAGAAGATCAGAGACTAATATAAACATATGCTCTTTAAAGTCAGTAACAGGAATGTCATAGTAATTCTATGTAGAAATTCTGTAACAGAAATGAGCAACACAGGTTACTTACCTTGCGATCATGAGCTATTGAAAAATAACTGAACACACAAACTGGCAAGTTCTGCTGAGTTCACACTGCCATTGGGTTGGAAGTTTGCTGAATTTGTCAAGCATGAAAGTACATTAGCTGTAACTGTGACTTGATGAGACTGCTAGACACACCACTCTTGGCGTCTCTGCTGCGACTCCTCTTTTAAATAAGACTATTCCCAAATTATTGGGTTTATGGAGAATATGCCTTTATCCATTTAAACCCGTCACAGTATCCTCCACAGCCCAGGACAGGACAGTTTCAGCTTTGAAACTTCACTGGGGGCCACACCCCAGGAGGCAGTTATTTTAAAAAGAATGGAAAACAGTTTGATAGAAAATTCTAGTCATTTCCTCAGGGTAACATACCAGCAATTCACCTTTAAACCTGGGAAACTGGCTTGTTAGAAAAGCAGGAATTTTCTGTCTTAAACAAATTCACACTTTCTACTTTCAAATACGTAAATTCTGAGTCTCAGTGCAGCCCAGCATACTGACTTGAATTTATGGTGACTTGGTAACTAATGTCAAATTCAAGGACCATGACCAAAATAGGGTCGGCTTGATTTGCAGTTCTTTTAATGTCAAAGGTAAATTTGAATGGTCATAAGAGCTCTAGTTTCAGCTGATTTCTAAATGTTCTTTTACTTTCTAAAGAAACAAAAGACTGTTTAATGCAATTTCCTATTTTTTTTTTTTTACATAATGATTGGCTCTTAAGCATACCATTAAGAAAAATGATTGCATGTTTTCACCAGGAACATATACCACTAACTATGGCTATACTGACTGCTTGTGCTAACTAGAATGGGGATGTACTGCTGAGACTCAGGAAAATGTGCCAGCTTGAGAGCAGATCGTTCCTGAAATAATGCTATTTCAAAGTCATTGGCATTTCCTCATTGACAAGATAGGACTCTAAAGCTTAGCACTACAGGATCTGAAAGATCTTGCTGCTTTTTGATGTGGGAAATATCCTTGTGGCCATGGACTTCTGAGGAACCTGCTTAGTGCCAGAGGCGTCCATTCAGCTAGTGGCAGCACAAGAAGGCAGCACAGGGGCCTCCCTGGTGCAACAAAAGGTTAAGTCTCAGCACTGTGAAGCTGTCCACAGCCACTGAGGCATGAGTTTGATTCCCATTCCCAGCCAGTGAGGTGACCCACATGGCGTGGCAGACCTCTCCTGACCCACGCGCTGCTCCCCTCAGCAATGTATTTCAGTCAGTCTGCCTGTTCTGCTCTCCACTCTGTCTCTAGTGAATCCTCTGATAACCCCACCCCACACCTCTGGACTGTACTCCAGTTCTTATATGCACAAATAAATAAATCTTTTTTAAAAAGTCTGATTAACAAACAAGCAGCCATTCCATCCTGTGGCACCGCCATCCTGGTCCCTGGTGTCCTGGGTGCCACCTTCAACACAGATCTAGAGGTCAGGGTGCTCTGTTTTGTACCCCGCTAGGCTCCCCAGGCTGTTCACTTGTATCCTTGAGGTACTGGGAATCTCCAGATCAGGTGAGTGGGCTTGCACTGGAATTCTACTCCGAGTCTGTCACTAGTGCACGTGACCTGCTCCTGGGGAAGAGATCCCTTCATAGAAGTCACCTGAGTCACTCTCACATTCGCTGTCAGGTCCCTAGTGCCTAACACAGCTTTTGAATTTTAGAATATTCAGTGGTGGAGACAGGTGCTGTTCACTGTCAGGCGAAAGTGGTGGGGACGTGTGCAAAGCTAGTCTGCTGGTGTTAGGACTTACTGTCCCTCCACCCAGGCGCTCAGGTATGCGGCACCACATCGTGAACCCAAGAAGTGACTCCCGACAGTCCTTGCATAGGCCCCTCAGGTACAGGCTTCTCCACAATGGTGCCCAGAGCTCTGTGTGGCATCGAGAGGCACAGAGACTTCATTTCTCCAGTTCACATCGGCAGTAAAATGCAAGGATTTCTCCTGTGAATGTGGCCCAAAAAGCAGGTTCTGACCTTCTGCATGAACTGGACACTGAATTTCAGCCACACATTTAACAGCTGAGGAATGCATGCTTTACTCGCTAATGCCTTCCTTTCCCTCCTCAGAGTAAAGGGAAGTACGAAGTGACAACCGGGACATACAAGTCGCCGGCCGAGATGGTCGAGCTGTATGTCGACCTGCTCAACAAGTTCCCGTCTCTCGTCGCCTTCATTGATCCTTTCAGGAAGGAGGTAACAGAACGCACCTTGAATTTTATAATAAAACCTTATTGTTGGGATCTGTCATTGGCAATGTGTTGTAATTTGCCCCGGGGCTGAGTTGATTTATGCGGGCATTTGTGAGAAAAGGCACTTACTAAGCAAATGAATAGCGGAAACACAATTACGTAGGAGTGTGCCCGTCCGCAGAATGAAACACGCTCTCGCGGGCACGTCAGGAGTACCTGCCTGTTTATCAGCCGCCTCGGGTGCAGGCCGAGCCCGCTGTGCCAGCTGGTGCCTCAATAGGTTAATCACATATCATTTTCAAGTGTTCCTGGAAACAGGACTTCAACGAGGCCAAATGCTTTTGAACCTAAATGCAGTTACCACACAGGCGAACGAGTAGTAGAGCCGTCTTTTTAAAACACTGGCGATACTGAGGTTGGGGACCTGTTTAAACGAGCGCAGCTAACAAGAGTTGTTAGCTGGGAGTTGTTAGTCGTCAGCTCTCTTCCTGAGTTACCTAAACTCCCAAACTGAAATTCCTGAATTTCTCTATCAGAATTCGACATATTAAGCAGATAAGCTGAAGAGATCACCTCTTTGAGAAAACAGTACATGGGAAGCAGGGGGCAAGAAGAATGCTGGATCTCTTCAGGAATCTCAGGGTATCAATCCCTCTTCTTTACAGAACTTGGGTGCCACAGAATGTTCAGTGCTTTAACCTGCCAGGCCTGTCTTCTGTGGCCTTTTTTTTTTTTTTTTTTTTTTTTTTTTTTTTTTTTTTTTTGGTAAAGATTTATTCATTTATACAGACAAGAACTGGGGTATAGGCCAGAGGTGAGAGGATTCACCAGATACAGAGTGGGAAGCAGAAAAGGCAGATTGACAGAAATACACTGCTGAAGGGAGCCGCGGGCGGGTCTGGAGAGTTCTGCCACACCATGTGGGTCAGCTCCTAGCCGGGGATTGAACTTGTGCTGCAGTGGCTGTGGACAGCTTCACAGTTCTGAGACTTAACTCCTTGGTCACCAGGGCGGACCTGAGGCCTGTCTTGGCCTCAGCCACTGAGTGTGGGATGACACCCTTGAACGTTCTATTCCGATAGAACAGCTGGAAAGCATGGTTCCCAGAAGACTTTGTCTATCATCATTTTTAAAAAAAAAAAAAAAGATTTCTTTATGCATACAGAGCTGGGGTACAGGCCAGAAGTGCAGGGGCGGTGAGAGGATTCACCAGAGGCAGAGTAGGGAGCAGAAAAGGCTGACTGATGAAGTCCACTGCTTAGGGGAGCAGCGGGAAGGTCAGGAGAGGTCTGCCGCGCCATGTGGGTCACCTCCGGGGCAGGGATTGAACTCTTATGACCAGCCAGTCTTTACCAGCATCACAGATAACACAGCGGCTGGGGACAGCCCCAGTTTCAGGAACTTCAGAATTAATGCGGAGTGTAGGATTTAATGTGCATTGAGATTTAGTTTACCTCTTTTAGCTCAAAAGTCATTCCTGGAAGTTTTGTGCCACCAAGCTTGTTAGTTGGTTTGGCTGTGGCCCAGGCCCCTCTTGGGCACAGACAGAAGACTGGGCGGTCATCTCAGAGAGGTGTATGGCTCTCACCGCCCGAGGTATGATTGCTGTGGCTCTGCCCTGCACATTCTAACACTAAGGCTCCTTTCACCCAGGACACTGAGCAGTGGGACAGCATCTGCAGCATCCTGGGCTCCAGGTGCTACATCATCGCCGGGGCCACATCCAAAAGCATCTCCAAGCTTCTTGAGGACAGAAACATCAGCACCCCCAAGTCCAGCGGGCTGATCCTAAGACACACAAATCAAACTACGATGTCAGACTTGGTGGAAATAAGCAAACTTATTGACAGTGAGTAAATGTACAAATCGGATTCAGAATGAAATGAACTTGTTGATGGACTTCACCATGTGCCTGGAACAGCCCCAGTCCAGGTCATCCCTGCTGTCCAAGGTGCCTAAGGTCACTGCCTCATCAGCATCAGATGGCACCCGCAGACCCACTTGCCCACAATGGCTTTTTAACTCCTCAGAAAGCTTCTAGCTCTTTACGGCCCTGAGGTCTTTGAACTTGCTGTTCTTTCAGCCAGGATGCTTTGCCCTGCGCCCTTTACACGGTTACCTCCTCCTTCAGGGTCTCCTGTCTTAGGGGAACCCTCTCCAGGCATGCCTCCCCTGCCTGCCCTTGTCCTGCCTGGTTGCTCTGAGCCTTTCTCATAGCACATTATAGCTTCTCTCTGTAGCACTGGCCACTGGCACCTTACCGAATATCTGGTATCTCCCCAGATGGCACCCTCCCCCGAGTCCACGGGAGTCTTGTTTACTTAGGTGGGTGGGTCTCAGGAATGAGGCTGAAGGCAAGTCTCAGACCTGGAGCAGGACGATGGAGCAGGCGGCAGGGGCCTGGGAGGTGCTGGAGGATGGAGTGAAATGCCTTGGGCTCCTTTGCCTGCAGCCTGCTGGCAGAGATCCAGGCAGGGCTGACCTGTAGGTGGCAGGTGGGAGTCTGGGGTCTGGCCTTTCCTCCCCTTCCCACTCAGCAGGCCTGTTAACTTCACACTGCTGTAGCGCCTCTCAAGCACACCCACTATAGAAGCTTTGGCTTGCACTGTTTGCAGACTAGCAAATTTCAACAGGGTTTGAGATCCTCAGATGATTGAGAAAATACTATTCAGACAGCTCTCCTAGCAAGTAAACATACAGGACGATTATAATCCCTTGAAGAAAGGTCTACGAACTGAACTGTGAAATCCATCACTCAGGCATCAACCCTCCCCCTCCAATCCCCTTACACTGACCACCTATTTTAACTTAAGATGCATTTTTCCACACTGTACACGGATGAACTTGTCTTAGGAATGTGTCACTCTGGTTGAACATTTCCCCTTTTTGATGGTAATAATTGTGCATCTTATAATTTATGGTATCTTTGACTTGATGAAGTCTGGCGTTCATTTAGTATTTAGCATCTAAGATGGCAATAAGGGCAAAACAAGTAAAATCAGGGTGATGAAAGTGCAAATGTTTGGATAAGAATTCTTAGTGTCCTAATCACTGACTCTTTATAGGAAGGTTTAAAGTCTCTGGCAAATTTTACATTTTGCTCCCAGAGGCATAGGTCTGTCTGTCTGTCTGTCTGTCTGTCTGTCTGTCTGTCTATCTATCTATCTATCTATCTATCTATATCTATATATGCATGCCATTTCTATACTACATAAAACTAAAAAAATTGCCTCTGCTTAAAGGTAAAAGGCGCATCGCTGTCTTTGGAAGCACAGAAGGAGAATCGTCTGATGACAGCCTTGTCGATTTGGTAAGTGCTGAAAGCTGGTCAATTGCAGAATTGCCAAAACACTGCTTTTATCATGAATTGGTATTTCAGAGAAATGCAGTCTTTGGTGAAGAAAGTCATGTAACCTTTTATGAAATAGACTTGCTTCCTGCCAGACAGCTACCTTTTGCAAAGAGCTAATCTTTGAACTTTAAAAAAGAGGGAAAATTGAAGTCCTGGGAAAATGATGAGCCCACTTAAATGATGGGGGTGTGCTCTTGCAATCTCACCGCCTAAAATGAAGTGAGAAAGGCCAGAATGTTCTTAGCTAAAATCGGCAGCTGACCTGACTAGTAAAGTGTCTGCAGTACAGTCACACCATCTCTTTAGTTTCTGACACGTTGGGCTTGAAAGCAGGCCACTTACGTAAAGAGAGAAAACCAACTCCTAGGAGAAAAACCAAAACAGCAGTGACAGCGCCTTTCCTCCCTAGGGAATTATGACTTAGCAAGACATGGCTTCCCCGTTTAAAGTAAGTTATTTCCTCCCTTAAGGCCATTGGACTCGGTGTCCGGTTTGTCAAGTTGGGAGGTCTTTCTCGAGGTGAACGGGTGACTAAGTACAACCGCCTTCTTACTATAGAGGAAGAACTTGTCCAGAATAAAACGCTGGGTATGCACCCCTTTCTTGTTGTTTTTACTTAGGCATGAATAAGAGAACAAAGATTGGAAGAGGGGGCATAGAAGCCCCTCAGCAGGAGGGCAGGGGAATCCAAAGACTACGAGTAAGTGCTGTCAAAACTAGGATGGCATTTGCCACAATGTACATTGTTGTCTTCATGGATTATCTATTTACCTGAATGTTGAAAGTCCTTGTGAATAGCAGCGTGTTGCTTTTCAATAGCATTAATTGATAGGAATCTCCAAGCCTACCTTTTGTTATGGTCCAAATTATACAGAAGGTTTCTCTGCACTGCCCCAAAAAAAGTTAAAGGCACATTCTCCCCCCCCCCCCCCCCGGAGGCTTTTGTAAACTATTTATTTATTTATTTATTTATTTATTTCTTGCTTCTGACAAATAAGCAGCATTCAATTTTAAGGTTGCAAGACCTTAAGACTATGGTTTCAGAAAAATGAACTGAACATTTATGAAGTGAAACCTTTGTAAATTTGTCTGAGTTTAAGCACTTTGTGTACTGGCTAATTAGAGAGAAATACCCCAAATGTGCATTTTTACTTTACATGACTCACTGTGATGGTCAAAAGTCAGTAAACAGCACATACAGACAGTTCAAGATAGGAACAGTTGTTATCGTAATACTGAAACTAATTTGTCCATACATCTTAGGATAGAATGAATCAATATACTGGAAAAAAGTACATGTTATTTAAGCAGTGTTGACAATTAGGATATTGAATGTTCCTGGATGCTATAAATGAAAACTGTTAAATGAGATATACATCTTATAGAATACATTTGGAGCATGCCAATCACTGGAGATGAAAGCAAGGAGGTGATCATACTTTGCGACTCCATTATGCATATGAGTCCAGTACAAATTGTGATTGTAAATTGATCCTGTTTCACAGGTGCAGTGATCCTGAAACACATCCTTAGATGTGTACAGATAGTCGTGACTTTCTGAGTCATGCACACGGGGCAGTGTGCGTTGCTTCATGTGTAGCATATAGGCTTATTTTTGACAAATAGATATTCTATAGTTCCTTTGCGTGGTCTAATCATTTCTTTCTGATATCCTGCTATGTGGAAGCTTCAGGTCCCTTAAATGACCTATGACATTCCAGTCAAACTTACACTGGCAGTGGCCAGTAAACATTAAAAGAACCTCAAACTAGAAAAACAAATCTAAATCTCCTTACCCCATTTTGAATACGAGAATTTGCCAAAAAACTCAGCTATTCAAGCTCTGGCTGATGACACGGACCTCCCTGGAACAGAAGGCTAGACTTGCTTACTAGCCCGGAATGTGAGCTGGCCATAGCCTGTGTTCCAGTGGACTGCCGGCCTTTCCTCCATTCATCTTCTCCCTCTTTGCCTTTTCTGTAAGCCCACACCCAAAGCCCCCTGTGCACCACCTGTCCCAGAAAGTTGTTTAAAGGTGCAAAGGAAATGGAACAAAATGAGCTGCACAGTTCATGTACGTCTCTTCCATAGCGTGGGATCCTCTCTACTGTTGAGGTGACCGCTGCATGGCTCTAAAGACGACACCCCCATATACCACACAACAAATAACATCCACATCAACACTGCAGGGTTAGACAGCAAGCTTTATTGTGTGTGTGCTTTTTTTAATATTAAATAGGTTTCAACGAAGATCACACATTTTTTCCCTTGGATGAGGAAGCTGAAAAGGACGCTGTGACAGCTGAGGCCGCCGTGACAGTGGTGGGTGAACCCCCTGAAGCCCCGGAGCCCATCTTCCCTACGGAAGTTGGAGAGGAGTCAGCCCTAACATGAGCGTCTCTGGATGGAGCTGTACACACCCCACTTTAGCTGTACACACCCCATTTTATATCCCGTCAGCCCCTACCATTACCAACCGTAGCCAGACAGGTCAATCTAGAAGGCACCTTTATATTGGTCTTGTGCTAAAACGTCACTAGCTTGTGAGCTCTTTTTACTCTTTTAAGTTCATTGTTGGGTGAAATCCATGTATCATATTTGTACCTGCATTATACATATGAACTCTGTCCTGCAGCCATCACATTTCCATGGGGATCCTGTTGGTAGACCAGCTCTCCTATGCCTTTCAGATGACCGTGACCTAGTAAGAGTTCGATAATTGTGTTGCCAACTCCAGACTGAGTTGAATCACCTCATACTTCACAGACCTGAAAACAAAGATTTGAAAAGAAAGTCTTCTGGCCTGGCAGTTTTGTGCCAGCAAATGATGTTCCTTTCTGGTGTAACCTTACTCTTCCCGACTGCAAAGCACAAGCACAAATGTAGCCAACCTCATGCAGAAGTAGAAGCACTTGGTTGCATCCAAAAGCTTCCTCTTAGCTTCCTGCCCTTGTGCCCACTTCCACGATCCATTCCTTTCTTTAAATTTTACTTTTTTCAAAAGATGTTATTAATAACCAGTGGGTCTCATCCACCCCAAACAAGAATGGGTGAAAATGAAAATCTACATTAGCAAATGAATAAATATTAAAGTAATAAGTGCCCCAATCTTTTTTTTTTAATATTTATTTATTTATGCATACAGAGCTGGGGTATAGGCCAGAGGTGCAGGTGGTGAGAGGATTCACTAGAGACAGAGCGGGGAACAGAACAGGCCGATCTACTGAAATGCACTGCTGAGGGGAGCAGAGTAGGCAGGTCAGGAGAGGTCTGCAGTGCCATGCATTGATCCCTTGGGCCAAGGATCCAACTCACACTGAGGTGGCTGTGGCCAGCTTGCAGTGCTGCATCCTAACCCATTGTTCCACCAGGGAGGATCTGATAAGTGCCCCAATCCTCACACAACAGCATTGAAGAGCTGATTTAAAGCAATCCAACCTATAGGTTGACTGAACCACCTCTGCTGTCAGCCAGTATTGGAGTCACAGCAGAAGTAGACATATTCAAACACATACCTATAGCTGTAATCATGTCCAAATGCTTTATGCGATTTCCTTTCTGTTAAAAAGCTTTCTGTTTGCTTTCCCAAAAGTGAAGCCAGTTGCTAGGCGCCGCCCGGTGGCAAAGCAGGCCGAGCTTAGACTTCTGCACTTCATAACGTTTGAACCAAGCACACCGAGCATTTCTCCTTTTGATGAATGCTAAGGAGCGAACTTCATGGCCATGGGGAGCCAGGGCCTTGCTCTCCAAGCATGGCCCCGACTGGCTGGTGGCGAATGCCCTCGGGGCATGGGCAACACTGGCTGCACCACTTTACGTTGGGACAACCGGGTCAGTCTGTGCGCCCGTCCTGACACTTAACAACGAGCAGCGGGACGTGAGACACCGGAAACAAAACTCATTTTAAAGACAAGAGGAGCACGACCGGCTGTCCGCACGGCCTGGCACAGGCATACAGACACAGATGCACAAAATAAGGGGTATGGTCGCTCAGAATGTGCCTCTGAACGCTGGTGCAAACTGCAGTTCGTGAAACCAGAACAACAACAATGTACAGCTAAGTACAACTGAGTAGCTAAGTTAAGTTAACCAAAGAGGTAACTTACTACTGTCCCCAGGTCAGCACTTTAATCTCAATGCACAGCACAGCCGATTCACCCTCATCTCAGGGGAGGCCTGGGGTCACCAATGGGCAGGAGCATTTGAACTTAAACATCATAGCGTGACAAAGACTGTTTTAATTTTCTCTCTCTGTATACATCCATATGTCATATAATAGACATAAAATATAAGGTAAATACTACCTGTAAGATATCATTCACCAGAGATGAAAGACATGATGAATCATGTCCCATATTATAAGCTGACCGTGGGACTGAGAAACATCAGCCTTGGGAGAAACTTTAAACCAGTCCAACCCCTGCCTGATGTGCCTTGTAGGCCAGTGGTAGCTGCTGTCAAATCACTGCCATGTGAATGGAGGTTGTTCCATGACGACACTGAGAAGACTGTGCATTTAGAAAATCAACTGAAGTTTGTTTTCAAGAGCCTGTGATGTAGAGTATAAAACTGCCTGGAGAGATAATCAACAATAACTTTTACCTGTACTGCTCTACTGACAGGCAACTGTTAATGAGAAGGGCAGCTGGGAGGGATGACCCGTGAGGAGCGAACAGCACCTTCATTCAGGCCAGCAGAGGCTGTGTGGGAGCCTGGCGGCCCTGACACTCAGAGCTCCTCCAGGTCACCCGTGAGCTGCTGTGGGGGAGGGGCTCATTTGAAACTAGCTCAGTCACAAAAGGCAGCTAGAATTTCAATTAAGTTTTTATTCTCTCAGAAAATCGAGACATTTTCTGTCTCTTTTTTGAACAGCAAGAGCATAAAGTACATCTTTCCTTATGCCTCACTAGTTATAAAAGTGCATCAACATTAGTTACAAAAGCCCTGTGGTGGATAAGCCATGATTCACATTTCCAAGTCAGAAGGAAAACTCAATTATCATGTAGAGAAAGCAAACCAGACAGATGGTGTTCCCTTGCAACTACACAGCCATGTAGGTGGTGCAAAGAGCTAAGAACTTGCAGGTAAGCTCTCCCTCCCCAGACTGCGGTTGGCCACGCACCCCAACTGGGCAAACTTTCTCAAAACTTAGGTGAAAAGGGAAAAACTGTAGGGCATGGATTATTATTATAAAAATTACTCAGAAAAAGGTGAAGAACAGTCTCCACCAAATACGCATATCAAATTGAGTTGCAATACTTTGCAGAAGGCCAGACAGCGGCTTAGAAAGGCGGGCACATTTGCACAATACAAGTTACCGCTGTCTGTTCAGCCAACACATCTCACCAAATGGTTAATTTCTCACCCTGGACTTGAGGGTGTATGTAGCAGCTGTAGCCGCTTGATCACATGAGGAAATAACAAATGACAAGCACATGAGTCTTTCTAACCGTGCAGACACATGACCAGGAAGGAGAGGCCGAAGAAACACAAAATAAAATTCCCTCAAACAAACCACGTTGTGACTTACTCAAAACTGCTAAAGTGGTCAACTCCGTTATGATTTTCTTATCAAACAATGTCCAGTTTGGGAAGCTAAACCAAAATGTCAATAACCACAATTGGCCTTGAATGGAAAACTCGTGGTGCTTTTTAATAAGTGTGGTACAGAGAGTTCAAATCACAGCATATCAGAACTCATTTAGGTGAATCAATGCAGTTTGTAGCTACTATATCATATAGCGGTATTGTTCAATTTGGGAAAATTACAATCGAAAACCATTGTTTTAACTCCCCATGAGTAAATGTTAAGTAACTGTAGAATCATCACTGGAAGAACATGGAAACAGTCAAGCATAGCAAACTTATAGCAAGATAATCATCTCCAAATTTAGGAAGCACATTTCCCTGCCTCCCTCTGGAGCCTTAGTGCACGTGCAAAAATAAAATACAACTGCAATTATTACTATCATTTTCTTGTGCCCTTAGGTGAGAAACACCTGACAGCTACATGCTGAGCCGTGCTAACAAAACCAAGCCTTTTCCTCCCTTTAATAGTAAAATTACCATTACTGAATCATTGTCATGAAAAAAATGCATTCAAGTGCATTACCACTTATTTTAAATAAACACCAATTTTGAAACAATCAACTCTGAAAAGCTGCACACGTTAAAAAAAAATCCCTGATTACATTTCTATTTAGTCACTGTGGTAGTTTGCAATATTGTATTTTTAAAGACTAACTACCACTTAATTTCTTAAAAAAGACAACAACAAGCCTGTGTCATGTAAAACAGCAGTGAAGCAAAGAAACTGTGGTTGTCACTTATCTTCACTGTACATGAGAACTGTTAACAAAATCTGGTACTTGTGCCATAATTAACTCCTGGTGCTGGGCTCCTGGGTGACTCAGATACTACTCTTAAATTCCAAGGCTCACCGTTCACTTTGATTCTCCAGTCAAGCCACTAGGGCGGTCCCGCCAAAGTCCTTGGGGAACTCTGGACACAACCAGTAACATGTACTTCCCAGCTCATCGCCGCCAGTGTGAATAATTAACGCTGGCTTTGGGACGGCTTGTTGGATGGCAGCTCCTGAATTTTTGAAGCGTATCTCAGTACATCCTAGGAAGTAACTTGTATGTCATGGTGCCTAACAATTTCCCTGCCGCTGCAGTTTCTCCATCAAAAGAGCATCAGACCCCAAACAAAAGCTTCCTTCAGAAATCTTTAGACCCTCTTAAGTCTGTCAGTTCCATCGACCCATTATTCACAAGTGCTGCAAACTTTCCGTAATTCATCTGATGAGTGGTCTGCACATCACCTAAAAAGGCATCATCCTCTGAATTGTTCTGTCATCTTCTAAGGGCAGTCACACTTAATACAGTAACTAGGAAAAACCTTATCCCTATAAGATCAAAAACCAAAAACTACTAGAATGTGTACTTTGCTAAACAACTGACTTATGTATACAGCTGAACTACTTACAAAAGTGACTGGAGGAAAGAGCCTGTGCTCTGAACACACTGCAAGAAGAGAGTGCTGCAGGCCTTGCTGGTGCACCCAAGCCAGTCCTGTGCTGATTGAAAAGGACTCCAGACACATCAGCCTTGTGCTTGCTCGTTTCCCCGTCAGCAGTGAGAGCTGTCTATGTCTCTCGTCTTTTCAATGCTTTCTTCTTTGTCCTCTGGCTTCGCATCATCTTCACCCTCCTTGCGTTGAGCTGGATCTTTTTCAACAACCTGGTCTTTGGTTTGGGCTTCGTGTGTGGAAACAGGATCTAAAATGACAACTGGTTCAGCTTGTTTTTCACCGTCAGTGCTCGGTTTGCTGAATCCAGCTTTACTGGGAAGCCTACAGCGAGGAAGTTAAAGAAAAAACACAGAAAACATTTGCCTTTCATATTCTTGGATTCAGATAAACCAACGCTCCCCATATGTTCCAAGCCTAATCAACATGCACAAAGTGGTCTTTCGGGTGCCAGCCATTAAAACAAAACAAAACAAAACAAAAACGAAGCTATTAGGTTATGTAGCACAAGGCCAGGAGAAAGAAGGCAGGAGACAGCAACAGACTGTGGGGGTGTTAAAAAGCCAACGCACCTACCTGCTCAGTGAGGAGCTCTCCAGGGAGGTGCACTGTGCACACCTCCCCAACCCCTCCAACCCCGTCCAGACTCCCCTGTCCTCACCATGCTGAAGGAGCAGCCCCCCGCCCTTGCTTCATCATAGCTCTGAGGGGGCGGCGGCTAACAGCGAAGTAAGTGCATTGTCTCACCACTGCTGAGGCTGCCACAACTGGCAGGGGACACCTGCCAGACCCACGGAGGGATGAGGGAAGCACAGGGCAGGTGTGGAGCCAGAGTCAGCCACCCTGCTGTTACCAGTGACTTTTTCTAAAAAGGAGAACCGTGTTTCTTGAGAAATTTCTTATTTGAAGGTCAGAGGTGGATCATTTTCCACAGAGGCTTCCTTTCCTCTCGTCTTCTGATGCAAGAAGTTAGCGTGTGTCTGAGTGGGCGACACTTTCCTTGTAGAAACAGACGTGAAACCCTCCTGTCTGTGTCCAGCGATGAGTTTGTCAGCACCTGGTTGTCCTGGGAAAGTCCAGGTTGCTAACTAGGAACCAGCCAACCGTGCCCCTCTGGAGGTCAGCACCTGCAACGATCACCCCTGCTCCACCAGGACCCAGTGCCCAGTCCCTGACTGAAGCAGTCTGGATCTGCCAGTTTGACTCTCACCTAACACTGCTCCCTTGCTGGGCTCACCACCATCATACTGAAATATTGTGCAATTAGTTGCTTAATGTCTGTCCCTTCAAATAAAATGTAAGTGTCCATAAGACTGGAACTGCTTGGCTTTGTGCATAGCAGCTTTGTGCACAGCTATGCCACTAGCATGTGGCACAGATCCATTTGTAAAGTAAAAAGGTAGGCAAATATTTATGAACCACGAAAGGCTAAAGACAAGTGGGCAGAAATCAAGATTTCGTTATGGAGGTCTCTTTAATAAAATAAAAACCACAGAACAAATGGTCAGCTATTGAGAGACAGCGGTCTGCAGAATACCCAAGTCCACTGACCAGTTTTATCACTTTTCAACCAGAACTAAGAGGTCTGTCTAAATGCTGGAAAGCCACTCTGCTAGCTTAGCCAGTGATCCTGTCCATGTGGCCTGGTTATCACTTTTAAGTGACTAATGCCCTACTAACATCCCCCCACCCCCTTCGTTAGAGGCCGTAAAAGCAAAGGGATGACCAGGGCCAGGAGAGGAAAGGTCGACTGCAGTGAGAACAGACTGCCTTCCTCTTCCTTCTTGACTCCTCCCTGATCACTAGGACTACGGCACTCCCATCGACCTTGGCCACAGAGTTGGGTCTCAAGATGTCTTTTACTGAGACTCGTATGCAAAGTCATTTCATGGTGCTACCTGGCTAGACTTTCTTGGCCCAAACTGCATCCCCTTGGGCAGTCAAGAGACGCAGAAGCACCAGTGAGACAGGGTTATTACAGGAATTAGACCTCAGGCAAAGGAGGGAGTCTTCTGGCAGTCCATTATGTCTTCTGCTTCTATGCCTGATGCTGAGCTAGAAGCCAGCCGTCTGACAACTGAAAAGGAAGACAGATGAAAAGCGGCAGAGAACGGAGACAAACCAGAGCTGCATCTGTCTCTCGCAATCTCCAAACGCGATGATGCAGATGACCCACAGGGTAAGCAGGGGCCCATTCACATGGAGGCAAACATGCTCCTGGCCCAGGATTTGGAGAAGCTGGAGTAGGAGAGGGGGTGAGCCAGAGAAGGTGTGGGCCAGCGGCTGCCACATGCCAAGTGGGTGACAACATGCATGGTCTGCACCATGCCTGGCCTATGCATTAAAACAAAGGTCTCCTACTTCATTTCTGCCTTCAAAATCTCATGCAAATTTCTCCTGTGGTCAACCCAAATCAGAAAAGAAATTCTAGTAATGAAGTTCCAGCCTACCTAGTTGCTACAACAAAGTCTGAGGGTTAAGTCACTTAGCTGGCTCCACCATCTTGGCTTGAGCCCACCGCTATGAAGTTTGCTCTAAGTATGCAAAGGAAGGACTCAGCTCATTCCAGGTGAGCGACTTCCATCAGCCCATACTGACCTTCGCCACTTCTGTAGAATTGCCATGGATGTTTTCATGCTCATGTATGTTTGCAGAGAAGGGGGTGGCAAACACATCCTTAAAAAAAGCTTTTTTTTTTTCTTCAGCTGGAGGTGGAAAACGTACAGGAAATGCCCCCAGGGGCCCAACAGCAACAAATGGATGTTGATTGGGCTGAAAACTCACAAACTTTGGTTTGTCAGGCTGAAATTGTCCTGGAACTATCTCAGTCCAAAGAAAGAAGCTTACTTCTTTCCTGAAGTAGGAAAAAAAGTAAGCTTCTCAAGTGTAGATTAATCTATTATTAAGTCACTTGTAGACTACAATTTGAGAACTCCTTTGTTGATTTTCGGTGAACTTGGTATGGGCAATTTCTCTCAGTCTATGCACTGAGAGTCAGATTCACTGGTTTCTCAAGGATAACACCCTCTGACCTAGAATTCCCATGGATTCCTCTGTGGCAATCACCTAGTCCAAACTGTCCTATTTCTGATGAGGAAATGAGAGGAGGAAGAGTCTTGTTCATGAGCAGCAGTGTCAGAACAAGATTTGATTCTGGCCTCCCTATTCCTAGTTCTCCCACAGCTTACCAAAAGCTGTAGCCTAAAAATATGATGATGCCGCAACAGGCTAATTTGGGTCTGTGTTTACTTATTTCTTTCTGAATCTCTGACGCCAGCTGCATCTATCAGATCTGCAAAATTAAAGTCTCTCCAGGCTAGCCTTTGATTTTTTTCCCCTTCTGCGACCTGTAACTCCTCCTGGCTTGATATAACTAGGTCCATTCTTGGTTTCCATTCAGATCTCCTCAGGGTTTCTTCCAGAATAAAGGAATTTTCTTCTTTGGGAAGAAACAGAGTCTGTTCCCTGATATGCCAAGAACCCAGTTCTTACACTAGACACCCACAATGACAGGTTCCAGAGGGGTAAATCTGAAGCTTCTCCCCAAGGAAAGACTCCTAGGCACTCAAATACAACTATCTAGTAAGTATGCTTTCATACCTTACTGAATCTAAGAGTGATGATCTCAAGAGAAGGAAGAAAATGAAGTATTTAAGGAAGAAATGGTGACCTTTACGTTTATGCTCAAAATCTGCCAGTAAAAAAAAAAATTTAAGTGACATGAAGATGAAAATCATGGCAAAGGAATCACCGATATGAACAAGTCCAGCCTCTGAAGGACTAAAATTTTGGAATCTTGATTTCCTGCCCAATAATTTACTTACCACAACAAACTGATAGTGACTCATGATCCATTTGAACTGATATTTCCAGATTTCATTTGCTCAAAGACTATTTCAAGACTTCAAGACAAAAACACAAATGCAAAATAGACACTAGGAGACGATAAGCCAATATATATGCCACTTTATGCAGCCTGGTGCCCAGATACAACGTGGGTGACCTTTCCCCTAACTGCAAGGAAGCCAGATGTGTGGGCTCTAGCAGGTGGGGCCACTTGCTGGTAAAAGACTTGATTCCAAACCATACTGGTACCAGAAGAAGCAGAACAATTGTGAACAGTTTCACCAAAGCTGAACTTTATAAAGGGACTCGGTGATTTCTCAGGCTGTGTTAGGAGATGAAAGTGCAGCATTCTAATTTTTAAAAAGCACATCATTGTTTGCATTCAATGAAATTCCTTTCAAAATCAACTTTCCATGTTCCAATTATATTCAACAACATTCTAGCTAACATTTCGGCTGCAATTCAAATTAACTAATGCCCAAAAGAGCCCTAATAGACGTGGTTCTGAGCTCAATTGAATACAATCAAAGCTCATGAAATGAAGGGGGAAATGCTTATTTCATGCAAATTCTGCATATCACTCAAGCTTAATTTTACTGATAATATAAAGGTGGGACATTTTGAACATTACAGTGAATGAAACTTTTAAGCGGTGAGAGTTATTTTATAAAATGCTACCTCTGAAAAGCTGATTGCCAAACAGTATAAAAATGGTTTGAGGCATAAATGCCAAGTTCATTTCTATTTCGCTTCTGAGGTAACTATCTTTCAAATCGCAACAGCTGGACTATTTAACACAATCTGGTGAATCAAAGTATAGTTCTTCTCTGGTCTCCCAGCGGGACGTCTGCATTAGTCTGTGGCAGCCGTCCAGCAAATGACGCCCAGCCGGACGGTCTGAACTCTGTTTCATTTACAATAAAACTGGATAAAGCCGCAATCATATTTACCACCTTCAAGGACAGAAAACTGAAAGATTTAAATTTGTCTTTATAAAGTAGTTTCCTGGGAAAACTCCGAAGAGAAAGCCAGATTTTATTTTCCCTGGTGTAAAAATAAGTCCTTCCCGCCACCCCCCTCTCCTGCTCCCCAGCCCTCTGCCTGATGACTAGAGCAGAGAACTGGAGTGGCATTATAGCAGAGGCGGTTCTTAGTTCTCTCACAAGCTCCTGTTTTTCAGGGGATTTTACTGAATACAGTCGTCCACAACTTCCCCCAGTCAATCTTCAAACACAGATGAAACTTTCTAAACGATTACTAATTGTAGTGCTTTTTTGGAACATGAAAGCAGAACAAAGCTAACGTCTTTAGTTTTGTGTCCTTTCACTCCATGTTAGCTCAGGGAAGAAATGGGTCTGCAGTGTGGTTCTGCTTGTGTCCAAGGGAAAAACAGGTCACTTTAGGCCATGAAACTGACAATTAGAGGGCAGATGGCCATCATGCTGGACTCTAGGGCTGCTTCACCCTCACAATGAACA